TTTTTTCAGAGAAAATATTTAAAAATTGCTATATATAAAAGTACCATGACGTCTGTACTCTGAAATAACCAGAGGCTGACTAGGAGACTGAGGCTGCATCCTTATTCTACTCATTGGTCTAACACGGTATGGTTCAGGGCAGTGGTTTTCAAATTCTTTCTTTGCCCATCTACAGAAGAAATATATTTTACATCTTGTCTACGAGAAGCTTCATCAAACAGCAATCACTAATATTACCTGAGATACAGACAGATTGTTTTTGTTTGGTTGGTTTTGGCTGTGCTTGGGATTGAACCCAAGGCTTCATACATGCTGGACCACCACTAACCACTGAGCCACATTCCCAATACCTTCCTATTCTGCTGGTCAAAACCCACTCACTATATTAGCTTCTGTTCTGTGGAAAGTATAAAGCATTCCAACCAAGGGTTTTAATGTAGACTGTTTTTTTTTTTTTTTTTTTTTGCTCCCATTCTGTTGAATGCTAACTGTAAGAGTCTGATTATGATGCTGAATAAATGTGTCCTTTAAAAAAATACACACCACCAGGAGACTGAGGCAGGAGGATTGCAAGTTCAAGGCCAGCCTTAGTTCCTTAGTGAGACACTACCTCAAAATAAAAAATAAAAAGGGCTGGGGATGTAGTTCAGTAGTAAAGCACCCATGGGTTCAATCCCCAGTACCAAAAAAAAAATCTACAAAATTGATTTGGTGAATCATCATTATGATTTTACTATTTCAATATGTAAGCCTACTACATCAAGACCACAGTTTTAAAATATTGGCTTAAGGGGGCTTGGGCTTATGTCCAGTTTAATTCTAAGTCTTATATCTAAAGAAAATTGAGGTTACTAAAATGCAGAAGGCTGGAAGGGTGTGGTTGGGTGTTGTGGGGAATGCAGAGCCAGCAGAGGGAAGGACTCCTTCTGTACTCAGAGGTCCTGCTCCACTCACTCCTCTCTGATGTTTCCCTCATTCACAACCTAAAAGGCAGCTTAACTGTAGGTTGCTACACCTTCTCTGAACATACATTAGAAGTTTAAAATAATGGTGATGGTGATGAAGATAACGTAGTATAAGAAAAGAAGTTCAGAGTAAGGGCTTCCTGAAATCAAGATAAGGACAAAACCCAATCACAGGTAAGTCAGAATCAATTGGCGGGAGACCCAGAAATCTGTATTTTAACAGCCCTGTAGGTGATTCATATTCATATTCATTCATTCTCTCCCTCTCCATTTTTTATTTTTTTGCAGGTGATTCGTATGCACTCTGAAGGACTGTACCTAAAAGAAATGTACATAAAAGAGATGAAATTAATCCTGAATGTTCTATTTTGGAATTCAGACAGGGTTGGCTAATGACATTTAGAGGACTCCCTAACTCTAAAATGAAACTTGTAAATAATAGAGGGTGTTCAGTTAGATAAACCCAAATTTCTCTATGACAAATTTCACAGAATGCTTGTTATTATGGTCAACAACCTTGTGAGGGCAGTCTAGAATTTAAGTGACTGCACATAGGTTCCACGGTGGGTCCAGGATTTCTGATTGCCAGGCTATTGTTCCTTTCCATTATGGTATCCAAAAAAAGAAAAAAGAAAGAAAGAAGGAAAAGGAAGGAAGGAAGGAAGGAAGGAAGGAAGGAAGGAAGGAAGGAAGGAAGAAATTTGTGTTTAAGATGGAATTTTGTGAACAAAAGAAGAAAATCAAAACATAAATATCTGAAACACTGAGATACTCTCTCTGACCCATCATTGGCAAAAGTTAGAAAGTCTGACTATGAATTCTCACTGAAGGTGTGTAGCTTTGGGAAGTGTCATAAGCCTGCTGGAGAGTATATAAATTGGAGCCATCATTTGAGAGCAATTTGGCAGTACCCAATAACACTGAAGATGCATAGACTCTAGGCTTTGATCCAGGGAAAGCTTTGAAATGTATCCAACATGTTTATTGCCATGTTCTGTGATCAAAGGGAGATCCATTTCCACGGAATGTGAGCTTTCTTAAATTTGAAAGATTCTAAGAAAAAATATACGACTTTATAAATGTTAAAGTAAAAATTTATTTAGAAACAAAAGAACAAATTACAGTAAATTTATGAAGTAAGTTAAAATGAAACCTATCGTGCATAAGCTGATTAAAACATTCCCAGAGCTGATGAATAACACTGATACTATTTGTTGCATACCCCCCGAAGTATCAAAGAATAACAATGGAAGAATAACAATAAGGACATTTCACTTCTGTTCCTCACCCAGGACCCTTCACAGAGCTCCACGGATCAGAGAGATCCATGGGGAGAGGCTGGTAGGGCTTCTATAGATGGCAAGTTTTCTTCATGTTACAGGGGGAGCAATTCAAGGGTTGTTTAATCACTGAACAAAATGGACCAGTGTATCGACTCTGTAACCAGACTGCTAGTGTAACTTGCTGCAAGCTATGAAATCTCTCTGAACTTTATTTTCTCCTACCCCTGGGAGTGGTGCTTCTAACCCTACTTGAGAGAGCCATTGTGATGATTAAATATGATAATACATCAAGAGTTCCTGCCACATAGTAGGCATTCTATTTTTAAATATTTATTTTTTAGTTATACCTTTTTAAAATATTTTATTAGTTATTGCTGGACCTTTATTTATTTATTTGTTTATATGTGGTGCTGAGGATCAAACCCAGGACCTCACACGTGCTAGGCGAGCACTCTACCGCTGAGCCACAACCCCAGCCCTGTAGTAGGTATTCTATAGCACACTAGTTGTCATTATTGCTAATAGGGCAAGATATTCATTTTAGAAACGTCATTCTGACTACTGTCTAGAGTGTGATAAATCTAAACACAAAGATGCAAATCTAATATTGAAAACTAAACAAGAAGATACAATTTGATATAGTACAAGAGATAGGTGGTAGTTTGAACTCAGCACCAGAAGCATGAATGCTATAGTCAACTTTCTATATGCATATGTATTTTTTTAATTATCATTGCTGATTTTCAGATTCACCCACTGATTTCCCTTTTCTTTACCATATTACTAGGCTGTAGTTCCTGCTTACAAAATAACCCTTTGGCTTAAACAAGTGGGGAAAAAGAAGTCAGGATTCCCACTGAGACTTAAACCCCAGTTCTTTAAATACACATCATCCTGTGGGGTGGGAGAGAGAGGGGAGAATGAAGGCAAGACAGAAAAATGTCCCGAGAAAAAAGTGAACCAATTCTTTGCTATGTTTGAACATTTGGAAAGGGTAGGTGTAGTTAAAAACGAGGTTTGCAATGGGATGCACATCAATGTGGGGAACATGCCTTGTTTTCCAGGTTTTTAAATCAACCCACCAAAGGCATACTTATTTTGTTAAAGCCCATCACTCCAAAGGCAGTAAGTTTCCAACCTTTTCTTTTTTCAAGGTTCAAGAAGTGTTCAAGATATTTTCTAGTCTGTCTTGAAAACAGTTGTACAATACTTTATTTATTTTGTGGGACTGGAGATTAAACCCCGGGGAACTCTATCACTGAGCTACAACCCATCCTTCCTATTTTTATTTTGAGACAGGATTTCTCTAAGTTGCCAATGCTGGCCTTGAAGTTAAGATCCTCCTACCTCAGCCTCCTGGGTTGCTGGGATTATAGGCATGTACCATCACAACCTGCTGTACAATCCTTTTAAGCTATTTGTCCCCTTGACAACTTTAAAAAATTTTTTTTTAGTTGTAGATGGACACAATACCTTTGTTTTATTTATTATTTTTATATGGTGCAGATAGTTGAACCCAGTGCCCCACATGTGCTAGACAAGCCCCATCTCTTAACAGCTTTTCCAGTTTATCTTTGGGCAGGAAATTTTCTTACTATCCATCTGGTAAAATTCTGATCCTTCTCAAAAATTCAGCTCATTTACCTCCTTCTATAGACTACCACTTCCACTCATTGCATTCATCTACATGTACTGGTTTATTTTGCAGTGATCTTTTTCTGGCCAGTCTCCCTTTCTAGACCATAAGCTTTTTAAGGGAGGGATCACTGTTTAATTTCCACCTTGAAATGACGTGTCGCATGATAGTTTAGTGCATAGAGTCAGGACTTTTGGGTTTAAATCTTGTGTCACTGAACAGGTCATTTATTCTTTCTCTAAATTTTCTTATCTGTAAAATGCATATAACAGTGGCAACTTTGAGTAATTAGTTCTCACTTCTACCTTTTATTGTTTAACAAGGTAGAAACATTTTTCACGAGCTTCACTGAGTTATGGGGAAAATTATTTTTTGGTATAAATTTAGAATATAGCAGAATATATTAAAGGGTCATTGTTTTCCGATGAAACAGATGCAGATAACTGTGTTGGAAAAAGGAGAGACTCAAGATTCTGGCAGGCAACGCTTGTTATTTCTCCATTCTCTCTCCATCATCGTTACCCCCTCATATCTCCTCTGACTCCTGTATTCAAGGTCTCTTTAGTTCCTCTTAGTTACTTCCTTTCATACGACTACCTTCTTCAGAAAGCCATTTCTGATATCCAGCTTGGGTTCTGTAGGCACCTGATCACTCTTTTTCATAATTATCTATTTGGATGTCTGATACCACCCAACTGTGATTTGATCAGGGACAGTGTCTGATTTTCTTCTGAGTTCACAACTCAGGAACGAATGACACCCTCGGGTCACTACTCTCATCAATTAAGTCTTATGGATGCTTTCCCTCTGCATCAGTCACTCTTTGCCTTTCAAGTGCTCTCAGTTTTCCTTGAAAGCTTTAGGAAAGAGACTCTGAGACTTCACCCCAGCTGCACTCCCTTGCCCAGTCTGAAAACGCCTACACCAGGTTCTGCCTTAGCTCCGCCCCATCTTGGCTCCTGACCCCGCCCTCACCTCCGCCCCGCCTCCTTAGTCGAGCACACAAGTACGCATGCTCCGTTTTAGCCCTTCTTAGCGTGATGACACAGGCGACGTTGACGTGGTAACGTAGGGCCAGTGGGAGCGTAGATTGCAGCGGAGGGGTGTACTTTTGCTAGTAGTGCGCGGCAGTGGGTCGCGTGGTCCGCCTAGGCGCGCGGTTTGGTTTTGGCACTTGCTGAGTGTGCCTGGAAGTGGGGAACAGAGACGGTCGTTGGGTAGAGCTGAGGGCTGCAGCGCCTGAGGACAGGGCTGCGGCCGTGTATAGGGGAACAGCTGAGAAGGAGGGCCCTTGCCGGCAGGATCCGAACCCGCTGTGGCCGGGGCTGGTCCCGCGGTGACCTGGGGCGGCCGCGAGATGCTCGGGGCCCGGTGTCTGCTTCGAGCCCTGCGCTCCTGCTCCACTGCTCCCTGCCCCAGGCATAGGCCTTCCGCCAGACTGAGCGTACGGGACGCTCTCGGGTCCCAGAACGCGAGTGCGGAGCGCGTTAAAGTTCAGGTGGGTGTGGGGAAAGGGATTTTTCTTTCTTTCTTTAGGGACTTATGTGGCACATCCACACCTAGCGTTACTTTGTGTTGTTGGGTCAGACAGAACGACCAGCAGAGAAAAGTTAGAAAGTATAGGTATAGCGCGAGTTCCTATTTCTCCATTTCCTCGGATGCCTGCCGTTACTTTTTGCAAAACTGCTCTAGTCGCTGTGAACTTGGTTTTCAAGATACCTGTAAACTTGTTATTCATTCAGGAAAGTGTAAGCGAACAGGGCCCCTTTCTCTTTTTACATCTCATGATATCCGCGGGCATATAGTGGTTGCCTTGCCCTGGCCTCTTGAGGGGAGAAACTTTGTCTTACCTGACTTGATGTTGACGTGACTGGCAGTAAATATTCGTTCTAATAAATCGGGGCTTTGATTCAGCTTTTAGCCACCTTAGTGCCTAAAATTGGGCCTGCGTGTGATTTATGTTTAATAAATTAGGAGGAAGAGTGGAATGTAGCAGTTTGAAAGAGCCCTGGGGTGAAGGTGTGTAAGTTTAAATCTCTCCCACTAAGTAACTTGTTAATTATGAGCATGTTAAGCGCTTAAAACTTAAGTTTCTTTTTATGAAAACAGATAATAGTCCCTACTTTATGGGACTATAAAGAGTAGCCCACAGTCAATAAATGTTAGCCACTATTATTTCCTTCACTCCTTAAAAGAGCAGGTTAAGCAAGGTAGTTGACTGCTTTTCATTAGATTACTAAAACACATTGATAACAGTTATTTTGATATCATCATATATCCTTGCTGTTATTATGATCTGCTCCTCCATACATTTATTTGGGTTTCATATTCTTCCCATGATCCAATTCAAAAAATTGCATGTATCAGTTAATTTAGAATGTATAAATGACACCTTTTGTGTGCTGGTCAAAAGAGAAATCAAAGATGGAAAGAACAGAATTTAGTGCTTACCATCTAATATGGTAGATATCAACCACTTGTGGATTCGAGCACTTGAAATGTGATGAGCCTGAATTGAGATATGTTGTAAGTTTAAAATACATAATAATTTTGAAGGACAAAAAAGATTGCAAAATCTCTATTTTTCTCTCTCTAAACACACATGCACACATGTGTGCATGTGTGTCTGTCTATGTATATACATCTGTGGGGCTTGTGTTTTTTGTTTATTTGTTTGCAGTACTGGGAATTCAACTCAGGGCTTCACACATGCTATGCAGGCACTCTACCACTGATACATCAACCGTTTTTAAAAAATTAATTTGCCCAGGTTGGCCTTGAACTTGTGATCCTCCTGCATCAGCCTCTTGAGTAGCAGGGATTACAGACAGACATGTGCCACCATGTTTGGCTTCAATATATTTAAATATTGACTTCATGTTGATAGTATTTTGGACATAATTGGTTAATAAAATAAAACTTGAAAATCACTAATGTAGCTCACATTATGTTTCTGCTGGACAGACCTAGTCTTCAGCAGTGTGATTAATATTAATGATCAATATAAGAAGCTATGAGAAAACAGAGATAGAATTCCTCCTATGAGTAGGTAAGGAAGACTTCTTATATGGAGTGACATTTGAACTGTGTCCTGAAGGATGTATTCCCCAGATAGAATAATCTAGGATGGAGTGGAAATTGTACAAGGATGTGTCCCCCAAGCAGAGGAACTGGGAATGGGGTAGAAATAGCATTCCAGAAAAGTTCATTGAAAAGAACATAAACTTGAAGTAATAACTTGTATTTGAATCCCAGCTGAACTTGTGTTTTAACTTCTCTAAATGTTTCTTCATTTCAAAAAAAGATAATTATGGGGCTGGGGTTGTAGCTCAGTGGTAGAGTGCCTGCCCAGAACAGTGAGGCCCTGGGTTCAATCCTCAGCACGACATAAAAATAAGTAAATAAAGGCATTATGTCCATCTACGACTAAAAATAAATTTAAAAAAGATAAATATAACCATGTCATTTACTTCTTGCGATAATTAAATAGCATAATATTTATAAAGAACTTTGCACATTAAAAAGTGCTTAATGAATGTTGAATCTTACTAACGAGTAAAAAAGAAGAGAGCAGTGCTTTGGAAAGTACTGTTGATTGAGCATGCCCAAAATGCAGGTGCCTTTGGGAAAGTGTGACGAGGTGAAGTACCTTGTGCATTAGGCGGTGACAATTTATACTATTCATTCTATGGAGCCCTCACAAAGATCAAGGGCTTTCTTTCTTTTTTTTAATTTTTTATTGTGGGTTGTTCAAAACATTACAAATTTCTTGACATATCATATTCCACACTTTGATTCAAGTGGGTTATGAACTCCCACCTTCACCCCATACACAGATTGCAGAATCACATCAGTTACACATCCATTGATTTACATATTGCCATACTAGTGTCTGTTGTGCTCCGCTGCCTTTCCCATCCTCCACCCTCCACCCTCCCCACCTCTCCCCTCCCCTCCCCTCCTCTCTCTCTACCCCCTCCACTGTATAACCCTGAGGGTCTCCTTCCATTACCATGCAATTTCCCTTCTCTCTCCCTTTCCCTCCCACCTCTCATCCCTGTTAAATGTTAATCTTCTTCTCCTGCTCTTCGTCCCTACTCTGATCTTAGTTACTCTCCTTATATCAAAGAAGACATTTGGCATTTGTTTTTTAGGGATTGGCTAGCTTCACTTAGCATAATCTGCTCTAATGCCATCCATTTCCCTGTAAATTCTATGATTTTGTCATTTTTTAATGCAGAGTAATACTCCATTGTGTATAAATGCCACATTTTTTTTATCCATTCGTCTATTGAAGGGCATCTAGGTTGGTTCCACAGTCTTGCTATTGTGAACTGTGCTGCTATGAACATCGATGTAGCAGTGTCCCTGTAGCATGCTCTTTTTAGGTCTTTAGGGAATAGACCAAGAAGGGGAATAGCTGGGTCAAATGGTGGCTCCATTCCCAGCTTTCCAAGAAATCTCCATACTGCTTTCCAAATTGGCTGCACCAATCTGCAGTCCCACCAGCAATGTACAAGTGTACCCTTTTCCCCACATCCTCGCCAGCACTTGTTGTTGTTTGACTTCCTAATGGCTGCCAATCTTACTGGAGTGAGATGGTATCTTAGGGTGGTTTTGATTTGCATTTCTCTGACAGCTAGAGATGTTGAGCATTTTTTCATGTACTTGTTGATTGACTGTATGTCCTCCTCTGAGAAGTGTCTGTTCAGGTCCTTGGCCCATTTGTTGATTGGGTTGTTTGTTTTCTTATTGTCTAATTTTTTGAGTTCTTTGTATACTCTGGATATTAGGGCTCTATCTGAAGTGTGAGGAGTAAAGATTTGTTCCCAGGGTGTAGGCTCCCTATTTACCTCTCTTATTGTTTCTTTTGCTGAGAAAAAACTTTTTAGTTTGAGTAAGTCCCATTTGTTGATTCTAGTTATTAACTTTTGTGCTATGGGTGTCCTATTGAGGAATTTGGAGCCTGACCCCACCGACTGTAGATCGTAGCCAACTTTTTCTTCTATCAGACGGCGTGTCTCTGATTTGATATCAAGCTCCAGATCAAGGGCTTTCTGATCAAATAGACTTGGGTTCAAGTCTAACCCTTACCAGCAATCTTCAACAAATTACTTTCTCTGAGTCTCAGTTTTCTTGCTTATAAAATGGGTATGACAATCCTTAGAGCTATTATGTGAAGGAATGAGACACTATATGGCGATAGTAAAACATTTGCAGAATTTCAGCTGTGTACTTGGCAATCACTTCAAAATAAGTAAACAGTTTTCTTTCCCTTAAAGCATTATGGATATGTAAGTAAGTGATAGAGAGCTTTAATAAAAGCATCTGTAGGTTATGGCTACAGCAGAGAATGGTCAATAGTTTTTCTGGTTAGAATCAGCTTTTGTTTTTCCTAAGCATGAATGTCAACCTGTATTCATTTACTTTACATTTGTGGGACACTTCACAATTGTTTGGTGTCTACTAGAAAACTAGTTATTCCCTCCTAACTCCTATAGTAGTTAAATTTAATTTGGGCATATCTGAGAGAGCTGTTTTAGTGTTACTGGCCTACTTAAAAGCATCTCTCATACTCTGATGTACCTATCATTTAAATTAAGACTATCTTTGAATGTTTGTGTATTACTTAATATGTGTTCATAATGAGACATTTGGGGGAGTTTTTTTTGTTTGTTTTTTTGGTGCTTTGTGAATGAATAAAAATCCTGTAAAGATATTTCTAGTCTATATTACATAATCTGGGAATTTGAGAAAAGGGAAAAGGCACCAAGATGTAAACCTTGTTATTTGTCATTGTCATTAGAAAAGCCAATATTGAAGAGATTGGTTATATAAATTACATACATCAACTTGATAATATTTGGCAAAAGTTGAAAATGATGAGCTTCATTAACAAAACAGAACAAAAGGTAGAATGGCAAAGGGTGTATCTCCCTATAAGAAAAACCATTTAAAATTATTTGTGCATATTGGTAAACTGAAAGCAGTTCATTTTACGCAGCTGATAATGTTAAGGCAAGATTGATTTTTTTCTTTCATTTAGCTTTCTTTGTATGTATAAAGAAAATATAGAATGTTTTAAGTATTTTAAGCTCACATATAGAAATCTTTCTCTTCTTTAGGGATGGGTTCGATCAGTCCGATCCCAGAAGGAAGTCTTGTTCCTACATGTAAATGATGGGTCGTCTTTGGAAAGCCTTCAGGTTGTTGCCGATTCAAACTTTGACAATAGGTAAGTTAAGTTTTGAGTCCTTTGATTTTTTTTCTTCTTCTCTACTGTTCCCCGCTTCTCTAATCCAATATTCACATTGCCCTTTTGACCTATCTTCCTAAACACATCTATGAAAAATAGCTTTGAAGAAAGTCCAAGTACTTGGAGTCAGTATCCTTAGCTCAGGCTTCTCCTTCTCTAACATCTTCACATGCCTGTAACCCGCCCCTCTACTTTCCATCAGTTTTCCTTCTCTTCTTGCAACTCCTCTAAGCTGTTCTGCTCCTTTTTACATTCAGGCTTCTAGTCTTGTTGCCACTTCTGCCTAATAAACCTCTTCTTCCCTGTCTTTCCAATCCAGTTTAGCCATCATCATATGTTCCCACCCCTTGACTGTGGTAGGTGACTCTCCTCTTTGGTCCCATACATTCTGTGCCCAGCTCTGTCCTGAAGTGTATTGTATCAGATGGTAATCAACTGAATTATTATTGGATTGCTTCTTTGACTAAGAACTCCTTGAAATTATGAATGATATTTCATTCGTTTTTGTGTTCTCAGCTTCTGGCACAGTGCTGACAAAGTTACCAATTATTGTTTGTTGGATAAATTGAAGAAATTTATATGATTTTGTTGTCGGATGTTAAAACTAACACAACTTTTTTTTTCCCCTAGTACTGGGGCCCACTACCACTGAGCTGAATACCTGACCTTTTTTTTTTTTTTTTTTGATACTAGGGATTGGACCCAGGGGAGCTTTACCACTGAGCTACATCCCCAGTCCTTTTTATTTTTTATTGTGAGACAGTGAGTTGCTGAGGGTCTCACTAAGTTTCTGAGACTGGCCTTGAACTTGTGATCCTCCTGCCTTAGCTTCCTGAATCACTGGAATTATAGGCATGTACCACTGCACCTGGCTTATTCCAAACCCTTTTTATTTATTTATTTTTATTTTGAGGCGAGGTCTAGTTAAGTTGCCTTGGCTGGCCTTGAATTTGCACTCTTCCTGCATCGGCTTCCCCAATAGCTTGGATTACAGGCATGTGTCATGGTGCCCAACAAAACTAACATCATTTTCATGTTAGGGTATAAGTTATGAAGAATAGAATATTATACTAATTTGTTAAAATAAGAGTGCTTTGGTATTCCAAACATGGTTAGGATTAATTCCACATATTGAATAGGCTCATGGGTCTGAGACAATAAAATTGTTCAGATGTGAAAAGTTTGTAATTTTTTTGATAACATATATCAGTATGGCAATTAAATGGGTATGTCTAATAGTATCTAAATTTTAGAGATTCTGGAAGATGACTACCCACCTCTTTGAGATATTCTCAATGGCCCCCAGGAGAAAATTCATCATATCAATTAGTGCATATGTGAAGTCAGAGCGTCTTAAAACACTTTCAGATTTGGTGTAAGATTTATCAGGTTTTCTCTCCTTGATGTAATGGTGGACAATCTTAAGTTATATAAATTATATATGGATAAATTTTAAAAGGAAACAGTGACTTTGCTGAGAAAGAAATCGGAAAAAACCATTTCATTCACAATGACCTTAAAAGATAAAATACTTGGGAATTGATCTAACCAAGGAGATGGAAGATCTCTACAATGAAAACTATAGAACACTGAAGAAAGAAATTGAAGATGACCTTAGAAGATGGAAAAACCTCTCTAGGTGGAGTAGAAGACCGAGATTGAGAAGGAGGAAGGAGGGATGGGAAAGGGGAGGAAATGCAGAATGATTTAACAAAATCACATATGTGCATATATAAATGTACCACAGGGAATTTGGTCTCTCTCTGTGTGTGGAAAGCACCAGTCAAGGATGGATAATAGATGAGCAAGGGGAAGATTTTAAAAAATAAATTTTAAAATATTAAATGTAGCCAGCAAACAAAACTCTGGAATTTCCTGATAAATTTAGTTTGATACAGTTTATTGTATTATATTTTAATACAGTTTATTAAGGTTTTAATTTATTTTTAATACAGTTTATCACAGCTTTTATAAGCATGCCCAGTCATCCACAGTGCAGAGCCATACCAGAGCATTTATCATATTTATTGTAATTATGAAATGTTAGAACTGGAATAGATACATAATCACTTAGTTCACTCTCCTTCTTAATAGATAATTCTTAAAACAAATGAGTGTTCATCACTTTCTCTAAGAGTCATACAATAAATTTGTGGATAAACTTGCACTAGAACATAGACTTACTACCCTGAAGGTAGTCTGTGTGCTCAAGACCATCAGCTGGGTAAATTAAAGTAAATAAATTGATTAATTTTTAAAAATACATTGTAGAAAAAGTACATGTACTTTTAATTGTCTTAGAAATAGTCTCATGTAATTTTTACCTGGCTTTCCCAAGGATAACATGTTGCTATAGTATGTTCTCAAAACCAGGGAATTATCAACAGAACTACAGACCTGATTTGGATTTCATCAGACCTTACATGTAATCTACAATATGTTAAAAAGCATTTTGACCAACTTATATTTGATACAGATAATTATATAACTTCTTAATTCTAAATAGCTATATGTAAATCCTCAATTTCTTTATTCCCATTTAAAAATGTATGGAATTCATTTTTAAGATTTGGATATACCACAGAGCATCCATAAACTTTGAAGATTCTTTAACTCACTTGAAGGTAAGTACTCTATCATTAATGTTCTAATAGCAAGATTTATATTAAGACAGAAGTTATACTTAATAGCAAGATTTTTATTAAAAGAAAAGTTATATATAATAATATCTTGATTTCTTTGTTATTATAGAGAATTGACTTTTGGGAGTTCTGTAGAAGTCCTTGGGCAGCTGGTACAAAGCCCTTCCAAAAGGCAAAATGTGGAACTGAAGGCAGAAAAAATTGAAGTTATTGGAAATTGTGATGCCAAGGTATGCTTTTGTTCAGGCTATTTAGGCTTAATTTAAAATAATAACAATCTGTTTTAAGTGGGATTATTGGAAAGATGGTACTTAGAACATTTTTCAGTTATGCTTCCCTGATAATTGAAACAGGGCATAGATCCTGTAGAGATAGTAGTAAAAGTATTACAAAGATGACTTAGTCTTATTAGAGAGAGTTGAGCATTAATCTGTGCATCTTTAGTGCCTGTCACAGTTGAACCTCACAGTTTTTATAAGCATGTCTAGTCATCCACAATGCTGGATATAGCCCATACCAGGGCTACGAAGTCCAGTTCTTCAGTGGCATTTTAAAAGGAAACAGTGATTTTGCTGAGAAAGAAATTGGAAAAACCATTTTATTCATAATGACCTTAAAAGATAAAATACTTGGGAATTGATCTAACCAAGGAGATGGAAGATCTCTACAATGAAAACTATAGAACATTGAAGAAAGAAATTGAAGATGACCTTAGAAGATGGAAAGACCTCTCTAGGTGGAGTAGAAGACCGAGATTGAGAAGGAGGGAGGAGGGATGGGAAAGGGGAGGAAATGTTCAAATGTTACTATTGTCTACCATATTGGACAGCATAAGTAGAGAACATTCCCATTTTTCACAGAAAGTTCTACTGATAGTGCTGACCTGGAATGTTGTAGTGCTGAACAGACAAGAAATTCTATATTAATGCATGTTTATACCTGTTTTTGAAGACTCTGTTAGTGCTTTATATATATATAAGCCTGGTAAAGAGGTTAGAGGGAATAAAATAAAAAGTCATCAATCCAGTTCTTTAAATTTACAAAGATGGAGAAAATAAGGCCCACCCTGGTAAAATTGGTGGCACATCTGAAATTTATTTTCTAGCTATTTGACTCCTCCTGTCTTTGCCATAATTACCTTCAAATGTTTAATATGCAAAAAAATGAGAAATTTTAAGAAAATTGCATCATTTAAATTCATTTTGGTATTTTAGAATAATAGGAAAAATTAAATGTAAGGAAGTAAGAAAGAAAATGGGCTAATTTTCTTTTAAAATGTCCTTCTGAATTATTTTCCAAGAAATTACAATTGAAAAATTGTGAAATAATTTAGAAATCGAGAGGAATTGAAAAGGTAAATATTTTTGCTTTTGCTTTCTTAGAAGGATCTATGATTATTAAAAATTTACTATGTGTTTTATTGTTCTTGAATTATTCTCCCTTGGCTTCTGTTACTGTTGTTACCTTCTCCTTGCCTTGTTTTTCTTTCTTTTTTTCAAGTCACCAACTGTTTTATTAAGCAATTATTAGGACCAGAAATCTATAGCCATTAATTACATTACTAAGACTGTTTTTTAGCTGTTTTTCTTTGCATATGAGAATTTATACTTGAAAAAATATAGGCTTTATTGAATAAGATGTTTCTGAATTGTAAAAGTATTTTTTATGCATGGTATACAAATGAGTTTATTTTAAACATAAATAAAATTGACAATAGTTTATGTTTGTAGTCAAATGCATTTGTGGAAAGGAATTATAATTCATCCAGAAAATTATTTAGGAGTTCTCCATTAGTATCTAGTTTAAATAATGAGATAAGACATTTTGTTTATGTATAAATTTAATTCCAAAGCCTTATTAAGTACTTTCTATCCCAAAGACACTTTTAAATAAACTTTTATAGGCAAAGAAACTCCATGATATTGTCAGATTTTTCTATATCAATTTTTTTGCATATGAATACCAAACTTTAATTTTAGCAAAATAAAGTTTAATGATTTAATGGCTTCTCTGAGTCTATAATGTTTACAAAGTAAAACTTTTAGGCAGGGTATGATTTTGTAAACTCTTTACCTGGAAGTAACTTAAAATTTTATGGCACTAAGCTAAATTTCTTTCAATAAACAAAGATTAATAACATATTTAACCACTTGGGAACACCTAGTTATCAATACAATTCAGATCTAGATAGGATAGTTTCCTTTTGAGGTAATCATATTTCTAAATTTCTGATTTGTTGTTTGTAAATCTCACTATCACAGGTTAAGCAAAGCTTATCAGAATGATGAACACTCACCTATTAGATACAGATATTTCCATGTTAGGGTTTCACTGGCATAACTGTATTTTTTATGTAAACTAAACCAGTCTTTTTAAGGAACTATCTATACAAAATAATCAAGGGTATGAAACAACCTCCAAGAAAACAAACTTTGGGTTCTTACAATTGCATGATGAGGAAAAAAATTGAGAAATGAACATTTTAAAATAACATGGACTACAATTAGTACTTTATGCTTTCCTCTAGGACTTCAAATGGAGATTACTCATAAAATAAAAATCAGACTTTTATAAACACTAAAATCTGTCATATATAGATTGGTAACAACTAAGCTTCTTTCTTATTCTCTCAATATAAATAATTAATGAATCAATAATTTTCTTCCTATTCTGAAAACCAAGACAATGCAGTTGATTTTAGATTTAGCATTTATGTTTTTTAAGAATCACTCAAACATATACAACACTAATACTTTCAGAGACTCATAGGAATATGAAAAAAAAATTTTAATTATCGCAGTTTTTACCTTTAGAGAGTTCTAAGACTTAAAAAGATGGTTTTATTTTTCATCAATATAATAATAATGTATAGAAAAAAAGATGAGAGATTTTTGTTATGCAAGCAAATAATTGTGCTTCAGACTGGAATCATTTTTGAATATGTTGTTTTTCCTCTAATTACAACCAGCAAGAAGGCAGTTTTGTGAACTAAAATATCATCCCCATACTTTCAGACAATTCTTTTTTGTATGATGAAGCCTAAGCAATCAATCCCTCTATAGACACAGCTCTTTGGAGCAGTTGAAATCTCTCTTTCACTACTCTTCTTCTGGTAGACACAGTGAAATCAGCTGTAGAAGTCTATATCTCAGGGGAAGGGAGTTCATGAATGGAGAGGCATACATCTCCTCTAAAGGCAGTTGTATCTGTGCAGTTTTCTTCTCAAGGCCAAATTAGCTGGTGTCTGTCTGTTGATAAGGAGACTCATAAAAATTAAAAACACAAAATAATTTGTTGAAATCTCATTTTCCTGCCACACGCAAGTGGAGCAGTTGCTCTTAAAGTAAACAAAGCAATCTGTAAATAGTCTCTGCAATCTGTGTTTCTGTCCTCACATTCTAATGACAAACCTCAGAGAACTGCCAGCTGCATTTTCCAGAAAGGTTAATGATCACAGCAGACACAGTTACGGTACACTGTGCGGTGGTCAGAGACTGCCTCCTCCTTCCCTTCTTCAGTTCAGCGTCATTTAAAGTATTTAGGCTTTAGGGATTCTGAACCCCCAACAATCCCAGATATATTCCTGTGGCTACATTTTCTTCTTGGCAAGCATGTTTTACTTGTTTCTGCGTACTATAAAAATCAGTGTGTGCACCAGACCTAAAAAGACGAGACTAAAGCAGTGTGCATGTGTAGCTCTTATTCAGCTTTTGTATTATCTTTCTTTTGAGTCTTTGGTTTCTGTCTGAAAGGATATGACTTTTTAATCTTATAATATAAGTGTGGACATGGAGAAATATTTCAGGTTGGAGCCTTAAGTTCCTTTAAACTTTTTTTGTAGATTTTTAGTACTCTGCTAAATGAAAGATAGCTGTTGACTGTTCCTCATGTTCTTAGACCCAGTGACATGTTGATAAACAGTAATAAAGTGGCACTAGCTGATATGATTGTGGGTTTTCAAGACATTTGTGTGATTTTAAAATTGAACCCCAGCTGTGTGTGTACAATGGTAGAAAACGTAATCTTTAATATCTACAATATTGTGAACTCCTGTGTGCCAAACAGTGGATTGTTTTGCATAATTATATGCTTAACCTCTCTATTTGTAAGAAGTCACAGACAGCTAGTGGATAGAAACTTGGTAAATAATAGATAAGCCTCAGTGATATTAATTAATTTAGCTAATAAATACTAAAACTGGCTTCAAACCCACATCTCTCTGAATCCATCCCACCATTCTTCTACCTGGTAAAAATTATGTGGGCTATATAATCTGTTATATTAAAAAATAAAGGAGGAAAGCATCTTATTTTCTCTGAAGCGTTACTATTTAGGAAATGCTCTGGAAACTGGTTTTATAAAACAGGTTTTTTTGTTTGTTTAGCTTCTAATTTTTTCCTTATTTATTGGCAGGCATTCCCTATCAAATATAAAGAGAAGCATCCTCTGGAGTACATGAGACAATATCCTCACCTTAGGTGTAGGACTAACGCTCTGGGTTCTATATTGAGGGTTCGCAGTGAAGCCACAGCTGCTATTCATTCCTTTTTTAAGGTAAGGTACCCTACTTCCAGGTATTCTGTCTTGTGAAGAGGTTGGATAATTGTAACACTGGAACATTTTCCTGAAAGTTCTGTTAGTTGTTTGTTCCAAGTACCTTTATTTATTTGGTTCAGGATCAAATGTCACAGGTGTACATATATAGTTTAAGAGCTTATTAAGGAATAAATGCTATAAATATTTAAAGTATATAATCTGATAAATTATGAACCTATGAAATCTTCACCACAACTGAGATGATGAGCATATCCATGACCTTGAAAGTTTATGTGTCTGTAACATCTTTATTTTATCTTCATTTTTAAATGATACTTTTTCTGGATACAGAATTCTACATTGACAGGTTTTTTTCTTTAAGTACTTCAAGGTTGCCATGATACGTCTTCTCATTTGCATTACTTCCAATGAGAAATCTGATGTCATACTTATCTTTAATCCTCGATGCACGCCTTGTCTTTTTTTCTTTGTCTGACTTTAAGATTTTTTCTTTATCATTGATGGTTTAGTCAGCTTTTTTTGCTACTGTGACTAAAAGACCTTACAAGAAAAATTTTAGAGGAGGAAAAGTTTACTTGGGGTTCACAGTTTCACAGGTCTTGGTCCATAGATGGCCAACTCCATTGCTCTTTGCCAGAGGTGAGGCAGAACATCATGGTAGAGGGTGTGGCAGAAGAAGGCAGTTCAGAACAGGACAATCAGGAAGCGAAGAGAGCTTTACTCGTCAGAGAAAATATATATCCCAAAGGCTGTATATGTGACCAGTGACCTGTCTTCTCCAGCCACCACCCTACCTGCCTATAGTTACTACCCCATTAATCCACCTAAATGGGTAATGCACTGATTCAGTTAAGCCTATGCATAGCCCAATCTAAACTTTCTTGCATTGTCTCACATGTGAGTTTTTGGCGGACACCTCATATCTAAACCATAACAACTGTTTTGGTTTTTTTTATCAATTTGTGATGTGCCTTGATGCAGTTTTCTTTGTTTTTCATTCAGGGTTTATTGAATTTCCTCGATCCTAAGTTTATCATCTTCATGAAGTTTTTTTTTTTTTTTAGCAGTATTGGTACAAATATTTTTCTGTTACTTTCCTCTTTTGGGAACTGAAATTATCCATATATTAGTGCATTGATGCTATCCATAGCCCACTGATGTACTTTTCTTCTTTTAAAATCCTTTTTTCCTGTGTTTATTTCTTTTGGATGTTTTCCCTCCCTTTTTGATGGTTTCTGTTGGTTTTTCTTTATGCTTACTAATCTTTTTTCCTATCCAGTGTATTTTTTTCATCTGAAACATTATACATTTCATATTTATTTTTATTTATTTATTTTTAAATATTTATTTTTTAGTTGTAGTTGGACACAATATCTTTATTTCACTTATTTATTTTTTTGTGGTGCTGAGGATCGAACCCAGGGTCTCACATGTGCGAGGCCAGCGCTCTACCACTGAGCCACAACCCCAGCCCCTACATTTCATATTTAGAATTCACTTTGGGCTTTTTTATTATTATTATTCCTTTTGTGTCTACTTAACTTTTTGAGCATATGGAATACAGTTTTAATTTGAAAACCGTTTTTATGTCCTTTTAATTTTAACATGTCAACTATGGGTCAGTTTTGATTGATGGATGGATTAGTTTCATGGCTTATATTTCCCTGTCTTTTTGCATATCTGCTGATTAATGCCAGACATAGTGAATTTTACTTTGGGTGCTGAATATTTATAAAGCTTCTTGAGCTTTGTTCTGGTATGCAGTTGTTAGTTGAAAACTGTTGATCCTTTTGGGTCTGCTTCTGTTTTTTGTTTAGCAGGTTTGGAACAGTGTTTAGTCTAGTACTAAGTATTTCCTGCTACAAAGTACTATACCTAGTGCCTTATGAACTGAGTTTTTCTCATCTGGCTTGTGAGAACATCCAGCCAGCATGTAAACACTGTGTGCTGTTCCCTCTAATTTTTTCAGTTCTTTCCCCAATTTTGGATAGTTTCCTCCATGTAGGCACTCATCAGTTCTCTACCTAATACTCCTGGGTGAACCTCTGCAGATCTCTGGAGTTCTCTGTCCAGTTCTCTCTCCTTTGATACTATGTCCCATGAACTTCAGCCACATTGGTCTCAACTGTCTCTCCTTGAATTAGGGAGTCTTCTGGGCTTTACCTTATCACTGTCTCTCTATGCTGTGACCTGAAAGAGCTCAGTATCATAAGCTGGCTGACTGGTAGGGCTCAACATTCGCTTCCCATCCCTTAGAGATCAGTATCTTTTTTTTTTTAATATTTATTTTTTTAGTTGTACACAATACCTTTATTTTGTTTATTTATTTTTATGTGGTGCTGAGGATAGAACCCAGGGCCTCGCATGTGCTAGGCAAGCGCTCTACCACTGAGCCACAACCCCAACCCCAGATCAGTATCTTTTATTGTCTTATATCCACTATCGTGAAAATCATTGTTTCATCTGGGTTGCTTTTTATTTTTATTGTTTTTTTTTTTTTTGCTTTATGATTGTTTCAAGTGGGAAAGTGAATTCAATTCCTGTTTCTCCAACTTGGTCACAGCTTCCCCTGAGCTATATCCAAATTCATGCAGTCCCAGTCCAGCTGTAGCTCACCAAGAGAGTTCATGCTCTTTAAAAAGCTCCATCAGCTGGGCACAGTGGTGCAAGTCTAAGTTTGAGGTCAGCCTCAGCAATTTAACGAGGCCCTAGCAATTTAATGAGACTCTATCTCAAAATCAAGAAATAAAGCTGGCACAGTGGCGCATGCCTGTAATCCCAGCAGTTGGGGAGGCTGAGATGGGAGGATCAAGAGTCCAAAGCCAGCCTCAGCAAGGGCAAGGCGTTAAGCAACTCAGAGAGACCATGTCTCTAAATAAAATATAAAATAGGGCTGGGGATGTGGCTCAGTGCCTGAGTGCCCCTGAGTTCAATTCCTAGTACCAAAAACAAATACATAAAAGTTAAGAATAAGAAGCTCCATCAGAGTTAATTTCTGTTGAAACTGACAAAAACACCATGCCTTTAAGGCACCTACTTAAAGAAAAATAAATCACATTATACAATGTTATCCCATTGTAATTTGAAAGAGTCTGTTTACATATGCTCTCAGACTTTCTTATGCAACTTCCATATGGCTTTTCAGTAGTGCTTGAACCACACAAACATAAAATCTGTTCAGATCTAAAAATATAGTGTTTCAACAGTTGATAAAGATTTCAACAGTTGATAAAGTGGACCTGCTTTAATACTGAAACAATTTTATGGATTTTTTTGGCCACAAGGTGGTAGTATTGGCAATCCATTGACAAGTTAGACTTCACCTCCTTCATACATTTCTTTATTACTTGAAGCCTTAACAGATATGCAAATAATTAAATAAGAGGATAAACTAGAAAATGTAAAGTAAGAAAAGTGCTTGAAAATAATTTGAATTTTAACACTATTGGTGATAGTTATAAAGGTAGATACTTTTTGAGTGCTATAAATGCATTTTTTAATTGTCATGCCCTGAAAAATATAATCCTGATACGTCATTCTATGTTATCCACTTGTATGTGAGACATTTAGGATTGACTTGTTTAAAGTAGTCACTTGTAGCGCTCTAGGACATATAAAATAATAATTACATATCATCTATTTGGTACAGTTTCTTCTACTTTAAATTCCCTAAAAGATGTTAAGCTTTAAAATGTAAAATTTTCATACATTTCAAATTTATCAATAAAAATTGAGAAATGTAGGAAGAAATAGAAACTTGAGAGGTACTTTAAGTTAGGATGTTTTGAAAATCTAGAGTTATCTTTTGGTTTTAGTATTGAAAATATTTTGTATTTAACTTGGTTTCCTCATAAAATTGACACACATGCCATGTGCTAAAACTTGGCTGTCTATGGTCCTCAAAATGTGTCATTTAGAAGAGCCAAATTTTTCAAATAACTGAAGTTTTTCTCTTTGGTCCCATTTTTTTCTAAGTGTTCCTAGAATGGATTGTACGCTTGCCTGTCTTTTTCAAATGAAGCAGTAAAAGACTGCTGTGCCTTTCAGGGCTTGTCTCCTCTGGATGGCAGTCCTTCAGAGCCTGCCATGGAGTGGAGTGGTTTTAAACCCCTATGTTGGATGGCCTGTGTATTGGAGTGCCTGTGACTGCTTTTTATGTTTGTTTTTTTTTTGTATGGTTTTTTTTGGACTCCTCTTGCTGTTGATTTTTGTTGCCAGTGGCATGCTAGTGTCTAGCAATTACTGTCACATTTCTGTTGATGGTGATTAAATAATGATATTTATTTCAGTTAAGTGTAAAGGGAAAATATCCACTAGTTTTCTGAGTGATGTGTATGGGCCTTAGTATGTGAATTTTGTAGTTTTTGGATACTCAGAACCTTCTAAAATACCTGTTTCTAGAATGTGTATCAAATTGTTTCAATCTGGAGGTGGCAGGTGGAGTCTAACAATTGGGTAAAGCATTTACTTCCACTTTTGGCTCCTTTTCTGGCCCTCATACCTCCATTTAGAAACCCCTTTGCTCTGGGGTGGTATAAGTACCTAATACTGGTAGCCTCTCTAGAGCAGATACTGACAGCATTCCTCCTTTCCTTGCACTTGACTTTCATTTTATCTGTTTTTCCTCCCACTTTCTCTTTTTTGGACTTTGTGTACACTGCTTTATTGTTCTTCCTTTGTATTCTCATGTATAGCTCTTTGGTAATGTTAGAGACTTCGATAAGCTTTGCTAGCAGCATTAAAGCTTAAAAAGCTATAGTGACCCATTTTGTAAAGGTTTGACGTTAAGTATTAAAAATGGTTCCTACTCCTGTGTGACTTTTGTTTTGAATCCCATAATTATTGACCTCAGGTTTACAGTGCTGTTCCTGGTGGCATTTGACCAGTTCTAACTTTGATAATTACATTCAGCCATTAAATTTTTTCCTCTCGCTCTACCTCCCCTTCCCCACCCTCATTTCCTTTGAATTTTTCACTTCCTTTCTTTGTTTACTCCACTCATGCTCATAGTTGCTTACATTCATGTGGAATAAATGATTCATGTTCATAATTCTTGGCTCCTAGGAGATAAAAATTTTATGAAGTAATGTTATTGATTGTATTTCCATGGTTCTCTATAATGTGCTCTGTGCAGCACTTCTAGGCACATTGCTCTCAGGTTAAGTACATATTTGAATACTTTCTGGGGCTTAATTTATAGCTTGACTATTTAATCAGCCTATATCATAAGTCATTGGCTAAATATAATTATAATTATAAAAGTTCATATTTGGGAGATCCCTGACAATGCCTGGAGATGTTATATTCTACTGGTGATAGGCAGAATTTAGCATAGATGTGAGTGTATTGTATTGATTTCAAGGCTAGAATTTTGCGTTAAACACATGCTATTCTGGCTTTGTATTACAAATTTATTTTTAGCTACTTTCTACATCTATACTGACTATAACCTTTGCCTTCATACATAGTCACAATGAAAGAAGTGTAGCCTTGAAGTTGATGGGTTATTTCAGTCCTACTAGCAACAGCTTTTGTGGTTTACTAATGGAAATAGTCTCAGTTTTGATCGGAAGAACTGCCGTTGGGCGCCTTGGTGATGGATGGACTTGATGCTGCTCAGAATACTCTTCAGGCCAAGGAAGTACACTGTCTGTGCTACATGCAGTGCATTGTGCCATAGATCGAATGACAGAGACTTCCCACTAGTCATTTCTGCCTCTCTTGCTGTGCATTTCTTTAGTCCCTATTAGCCTTAATTTTTCTTTTTGATGGTTTATCACAGTTGAGGTTTTATTCCCACATAACTGAACTTCATATTGATCGCTTTGTATTCCCTGAATAATACAGGCAGCATTGCTATGCATTAACCTTGGTTGAGTGTGTGTGTGTGTGTGCACGCGCGCACATGCGTGCATGTACATGTGTGTTTGTTGAACCATCACCAGTAACTTAGAGAAGTAGAAAATGGAGGGAATAGCAATACAGAGCCTGGGCGCGGGGTTACAACCTTGGCTTAGCCACTGACTATTTATGTGGCTTTTGGCAATTTACTAAATCTCTCAGGGACTCAGCTTTCTTATCTTTGAAATAAAGATATTGGAGAACTTAATTTCTAAGTCTGTTCCAAATCAAAAAAATTTTGTGCTTCTGTGCATAGTAAAATACTCAACCATCTTTCAATAACCTCATATTTGGAAGGTTGGGGGGATTTGATGTGGCATTCTCAGAGTTCCATTTTAATAGTATAACAACACAGTGTATATTCTTGGAATTTTTTCATGTGCAGACATCTTGAAAAGAGTGTTTTTCTTTTCCTTCCAGAACAGTGGTTTTGTGCACATTCATACTCCAATAATTACATCCAATGACTGTGAGGGGGCTGGAGAGCTTTTCCGAGTTGAGGTGAGTTCTATTTCCCATCTTGGAAAAATATTGTTGTTTGATATTTTTCTCCTGAGGGTTTGTTTCAATTTATTTATTTATTTGTTTGTTTGCTTACTTACTTATTTATTTATTTTTGTAGTGCTGGGGATTTTGCATTTGAGGCAAGCACTCTACCAACTGAGCTATATTCCTAACCCCATTTTAAATTTAATAAGAAGACCATAGGTAGCACCTGAAATTGACTGTAGTAATTCTTAATATTCATTACAACTGCTCTGACTCCCTATCCTACTAGCCATATTACTAATACTGTGACTAAAAGGAGTAAATTTTTAATTTAGTACTCTACTTGCTTTCCTTAAGCCACTGAAATGGTTAATTAGAGAAATTTAGAGATTAATAAGGATTATAAGATATTCTGCAAATTCAACCATCAGTTGATGCTTGAACATAAATCATGTTTTTAAAGATGGATAAAAGGGCTGGAGTTGTGGCTCAGCAGTAGAATGCTCACCTAGCATATATGAGGCACCAGGTTCCATCCTCAGCACCACATATAAATAAATAAAATGAAGGTATTGTGTCCACTTACAGCTAAAAAAAGTATTTAAAAAGATGAATAAAATAGAAAAGTATACATACAAATATCATTTTCTTTTTCAGATTCTTTTTAAAAAATTACGTTTTCATAAGAAATGATTTGTGTATATACCCCATTAAGGTTTTTAGTTTAATTCTTTGTTTAACAACCATTTTTGGATTTCCTACTATGTGTCAGGTACTGTCAGCCTGCCCTTCTTGCAGGAAAAAAAAATTTCCAACTTTTCTTATAGTCAATTGAAAGCCTTTCATTTATTAGTTTTACAGCTGAAAAAGTCATTAGCTAGTCACATACTGATAGACAAAGAGAACTAAATTGATGAGTTGTGCTTTTTGTATTTTATTTATTTGCTGAATTCTTTAACTCTAGTAAATATCAAGGTGGTTCTTTAAACATTCGGTTGATTTTATTAGCTGACAAGATGTGTATATAACTGCTTTCTCAGTTTTAGGGCTTTCTGGCTCTTGATAACCATGCTTTCTCTTTATATTTTTGAACAAAGTTTTCATTGGAAAAAGTTGTCCTGACGTATTAAAGTCATTATTATTAGGAATAGTAATCAAATGTTGTCTTTCTTCATACTTGAAGAAATCTGGATGGTAGTTAACTTTCTGGAAAAAGCAGAATTAAAAAACCTGTTGAATGTTTAAAGTGGAAGTGTTAGCATCCATATATGAGTTCAAAGAAGTTAGCAAATGACAAAATAATAGTGTATTCTAAAAAACATTCTTTTCTAGGTGTTTATTTTCTCTTTGTGAATATTGAAGGGAAGAAAAATTACTTAACCTTAAATGCATTTCATGATCCTTTTATCTAAACTATGGAATGTTAAAAAACAGAGAAGCAAAAGTATAATTTCAAGGAGTTTTTACAAATAATAAGGGAATTTTAAAAGAGACCCAAATTAAACAAACTTAAATAATGATAAATTGGGAGATAATTTCTATACTACCAGGAAAATCTAAGTAGATCTGAGTGATTACAGTCTGTGTATTTTGGTTGCTAAACAACCAAAAGGAAAGTTACTGCATAAATACAAATAGGAAGAGGAAAAAAATGTATTTCTAAAGCTAAATAAATGAAAAATGAAGTTCATATCATTTCAGGGCCAGAGAGAGGAATTTTACATAATGGAATTAGAGTACTAGAAAAGACATGCTCTTGAATTCATTGATCCTACTATAGTCAGGGTCTAGATCAGATTTCAGCATCTGTGACTTTTGTGTTATGTATGGCCTGCTATCTTTGTTGCTTTCAGAAGTTCAGATACCAAGACTCACCTTTTGCTCTGCCTTTGTAAGCAGTATTTTTTCTTATTTTCACCTCATACACCTTACACACCTGTGTCCTTACAAGATTCATTCTTAATTTCCTCCTGGCTACTAGTAGAGGCATAGGGGTATGAATGTTGGCAACCACTTTTAGGGAAGTGGGTCTGAAGAAGTGGAACTTTTGTATTTAAATTCTTGAATTCTTGCTTCTCTACCAGGTGTGGTGGTGCACAATTGTAATACCAGCTATTTGGAAGGCTGAGGCAGGTTCAAGGCCAGTCTGGACAATTTAGCAAGAAGACCCTGTCTCAAAAAGAGCTGGGGGCATAGTTTAGTGGTTGAGTGTCCTGGGTTCAATCCCCAGTAACACCCCGCCTCAAAAAAAAAAAAAATCTTGCTTCATTTAACAGCCTTCTTTTTTCCTGTGACAGCATTGAAGTGTCAGTAATCATTTTTAAGATAAAAATGGCTAATAGAAATTTAGGTTTGAGGGTATCAGTAAGAGGTGACCTTAAAACCTTAAAAAGTATAGTAAGAACTTAAACTTCTAATACTCTTATTGAGAACTGAATATATGCCTTATCATTTTTGTTTTCTTTTCCACATTTCCTCATTTACGACTGTGGATATTAAGATTTGGGGACCACTGAGTAGATGTAAGAAGTCACATTCAAGGCATTTATTTGTTTTTCAGCAGACATTTGATACCTCTGTGTTCAAGTGCTATGCTAAATGTTATGAGGGATAGAAAGGGATAAAAAATTGAGGTTCTGGCCTATAAACCTGCTGACTTGGCAGGATTTGATAAAGTAAGGAACATGCTTTTTTTTTTTTAATCCTTGATATTATTTATCATGCATTTATTATTTGTATACTTTTTCCTCTTTGTCTTAAGGTCCTAGCTGAGTTTCCAAAATTATGATTGGTTTTTACAATCCTGAAGCAACTATAGACTGTTCCCAACTTAGGATACTTCAACTTACTGATTTTTTAATGTCATGATGGTACAAAAATGATAGGCATTCAGCAGAAACCATACATTGGTTTTGGTTTTGTGGTGCTGGGAATCGAACACTGAGCTACTATTCTCCAGCACAGAAACCATACTTTGAATTTTGATCTTTTTCCCAGGCTGTCAATACTTGATACGAATACTCTCTCATGATGTTGGGCAGCAGCTGCAAGCCACAGTTTCCTGTCAGCCACACGATCTTGGGGATAAACAACGATACTCTACAATGTACTATGTGGCTCAGCTGTGATGTTCAGTGTATTAGGAGCATTGAATACATTTTCAATTTATGGTATCTTCAATTTATGATGGGTTTATCAGAGTGAAATGCCATCAGAAATTCAGACATATCTGTAATTTGTTTCTGAGAAGATACAAGAGAAGGCAAGAATTAGAGCTGTGGCAGATTAGAAGTTGATGAGGAATAGGTGAGACTACATATATTTGAGGTTACAGTATTACCAATTATAAATGATATGACATCTATAGCAAAATATTGTCAGGGAGAATTGAGTTGGTCAGAAAAATCTTCAAAATGAACATGTGATTTAACTATATCTTAGGAAAGGTATTCCCAGTAAGGGGAACAATGTGAGAAGAATTGAAAAGTTAAGTTGAGCTGAAGGGGTTTTATTAGACTCTGAGTGAACAGATTTGAAGGTTCATATTGGCAAATTATAGAAAATAAAGGTGGCTAGCTTTAAGAATGAGGTTATGGAGCAGTTTGGGTTTTTTTTTTGTTGTTGTTGTTGTTAGTTGGTTGGTTGGTTGGTTGTTTTTGTTTAAGGAAAAAAATGTTTTGAGACATGTTTTACATACTATGACAGTTACCCACTTATATCTATACCACTCCCTAGTTTTTAGTATATCCAGAAAGTGGTGCAGCCATTCACCACTTTCTAACTTGAAGGCATTTTCATCACTCCGAAATAAGCCAATGTATTTATTAGCAGTCTCTTCTCATTCTTACTCCCAGCTCTGACCACAATGCTACTTTCTATAGATTTGCCTCTTCTGGAACACCTCATATAAAGGGATTCATATGACATATGGTCTTTTGCATCTGACATCTCTGATTTAACACAGTTTTTGAGGTTCATCCATGTTGTATATGTGTCCTTTCTTCATTCCTTTCTATATCAAACTGGTATTTCATTGTGGGGATGTACTATTTTTTTAATCCATTTATCAGTTAATGGACATTTGTGGTGTACTACTTGCTGAGAACATTTATGAAAAGATTCTATGGATGGAGATAAACATTATCTCGTTTGTTTTGGAAGAAATTTAGGGGTAATATGGTAACTGTGTTCAACATTTTGAAAAATTTCCAAACTATTTTCCAAGGAGGCTATACCATTTTACATTCCCACCAGCAGCATATGAGGGTTCTAATTTTGTTGTATCATTGCTTATGCTTGTTATTTTTTATGTCTTTGATTTATAGTAATCCTAATGAATGCAAAGTGGTATCCCATTGTGGTTTTGATTTGCATTTGCCTAATGACTAAGGGTGTTGAGCATCTTTTCACATTGACCATTTATATATCTTCTTTGGAGAAATATCCAAGTACTTTGCCCATTTTTTAAATTGGGTCCTTTGTCTTTTTGTTGTTGATTGAATCACAGGAATACTTTTATGTATTGAACATACAAGTCTTCCCAACCCTCAGCAGTGTAAAGGCTGTGATGTTGCCCTCAGGCACAGGCTTGGTGTACCCACAATCGCCCAGAGATGGCACTTCTTTGGACAGGGTTTCCTTTGGCTGTTTCTTCCCCTGACCACATGTAGTGTGATTGCTCCAATGTTTTAACAGTGTCCTAGAGCATAAACTTTATCTCAAACTGGATCCAGTCAATTTCAAACTCCTTTAAGGGGATAGTTTTCAAAATCAGTGTGTGAGATTTATTGTGACCTTGAAAGGGCTCTTCTAGCTTTTCCAGTATGTCTCTGGCACACCAATAGATCTACAGTTTAACCTTTATCTCCAACGGATCTGCCAATCTCTGATTACCTTTTACCAAATCACCAGTGTTGGAGAGAACCCTTCAGTTAGAGAAGTTTTCCACACTCTTTTGCAAATAAAGTCAGTGCCTTTGAGGAGGGATCCAACCTCTTTTTTATGGCCTGATA